ATTTGTCTGTGCCTTTTTGGGGTGAGGAGAGTTGCAGAGGTTAAAGATCCCACTGCGCTACTGGTAAGAGACGGGTTACATGCCTGGTGCGCTGGTTGCCAATCTTCCCCACCCCCAAAACCAGATGAAAGGGACGTTCACCTTGTGGATGTTTACAGTGGGCTAAATTGTGGCAGTGGTCACCTGCGATAATTCAACAGTCGACAGGAAGTTTGTGGGTCACTTTGGGGCTGTCTTAAGTGCTCTGAGATGAAGGGTGCTTTATAAAGCCAAGTTATAGCTGATACTCAAACACAGTGCTGGGGGTGTGTTGCATTGTAGGAGGTGCTGTCCTTTGGATAAGACGTCAAAACGAGGTCTCGTGAGCCTATTCAGGTGGGCGTTAAAGATCCCATGCACTATTTGAAAAAAGGAGGGAGTTTCTCCCGGTGTCCTGACCAACAAATCCCCCAACTAAATTTGGTTACTCACTGCATGTAATGTTTGTGGGACATTACTGTGGGCAAACTGTCGCATTTCACCCACAAAATATACACTTTACAGTGTATTACAGTGTATCCTGTGAAGCGCTTTGAAATGTCTTGAAGTCATGAGGCAGTATATTAAATGCAATGATTAATATTATTAATGACAATTTTGGGCTGGGCTGTTACACAACAGTTTTCAATTGTGTGCTAAATAAAGGTGAAATGGGCTGGTTGTATTGCAACATGTAAAGGCATATATAACTTTCAGATTGGACGGAAGATTGTAACAAAAAATCAATGTGATCTTTTATCAATGATAAAATATCAATATTTAATGACCTATTGGGTGCATGTATGTGTAGGTACTTTTAACTTAACTTCGCATTGAGGCTTACACTCGTAATGAATCCTTTCATTCTGGCACTTCCCTGCCTCTCCAATCTCCTCACTCCCCAATCCACCAACGGCGCGGCGCCTCTGCTCGACTGGCACCGGCCTCCTGCTCATCCCTCGCACCCTCTGCCCTACCATCGAAGGTCGCGCTTTCAGCCACTATGCCCTGAAATTCTGGAACGCTCTCCCTCAATCCCTCTGCCTTGCTCTTCTCTCCCCATTTTCAAGTCCATTTTCCAGCGCCTTGGGACGTCCTCCCGATGTGAAAGATGTTATACAAATGTAATCTTCTTGTTGTTGTTGAAAACTTTCTTCTTTGACCATGCTTATGGCCACCTCCCTCCCCCCGGCTCGGAGTCAGGCTCCACCACTGCTAAGCGCTCTGAGACGCTACCCTGTATGGAGGACGCTATATAAGTGCAAGTTGTTGTTGTTATTGTACACTCTTGGTTTTTGTTCAGGCTTTTTCTAATACATTTATTTTAAGGAACATAGAAATGGGAATAGGCCATTAGGCCTTTTGAGACTTCTCAAACATTATGTTGATGGCAACTCTAATTCCATTTCCCTTAATCCCTTTACTTACCAAGTCAAGTGTCTGGATCACTCTTTTTTGAATGAACCAATTGGCTATAGACTTGTGACCCTGTTCTTTCTTTACCCAGGGTTTCCCCGTCTTTCCTGAGGGTGTTCATTCATACTGAGGGAGGATTCATTGGGTGTTCTAGTCCTTTGCTTCCTCTCTCAAGTGGTCTTGTCAACCGGTGTGTGAGCTACAACAATGACCACAGGCTTTTTCATCAGCTTTTTCATCTTTCAAGTATTGTCAGTGGTAGCCTTATAATCTGTAAACTGGCCATTTTTAGCCCGCTGGAAGTCAGAGTGGAGACTTGTGGATCATTGGGCTGCTGCCAGTGTCACGTCCTGTGCTCCGGCCAACGCACATATGTGCAATGAATCGGGTCCACACACTATTTTATCATTCTCCAAGTTCAGGAACACAGATAATTTTGAGCATCAGTATCTATCACTATTAGTAAATCTGTGTACAGTTGTAATTGAACCTGTATGTTTATTGGCTCAGTAAAACACTAGAAAGGGCATTGAGCATATTTCTCCAAAGTGCCTGTATATCTCCAAATGCACAGATTAGGTGGGTCAGGTGTGTGCGTGTGTGCCTGCGTCTTTGGAGATGTTAGCTGCATGTCTTCTCCTATTGATCATCTACTTAGCACTTCCACAGACCCGGACTCAGTTTTAGCAATTTTGAGGCCTTTTTTGTGTTTAATTTTTCCATCTGCTCCAGGTGTTCAATATAGTAGCTGATTGTCAATACTCACTGGTTCTCTGCACAATACAGAAACCAGACCTATCGAAATCTCCAGTCTATATTTGGAAATGAGGGATATCTTAAATCACTGGTAGTCAAGAGAATTCCAGCTCTTCTGCTACATATCAAGAGAAGATGGCGTAGAACCGTAGTTGGAAGCGTTAGCATGTTTACAAAACCAACAACTTGCGTTTATAATTATACCCTTTATGCGGGTAGTATCTCGGAGCACTTAACAGTGGCGCGGCCTGAAGCTGAGCTCGGCAGAGAGGAGAGGCATCACTGGATCATTGTCCAAGAGGAGGCTCTTCAGGGCTGGCAAGGAGGGGGCAAGGCAAAGGGAGTGAAGCAGAGAGTTGAGATTTTAATGGCTGAAAGCACGGCCACCGATCGAGTAGAAAGCCAAAGCCAGCTGATATTTTTTACCATGACATCAACATTCAATATAATATTGATGATTATACAATCAGTACAATCTCTTGTATTGATGCAATATTCTATTGATATGTACAATTAATATTGGTCTTAATTGTATAGAATTTGGGGGGGAAGATAGAAAGGAGAAATACTTGATAATAGGGAGTGAGGCTGTTTCTTTTTTCCCCTCAATAATATTTTCACAAGTTTCCAGACTGTTGCACCAGGAACAAATAAGGAATACATGGCATATTGTTTTATTAGTCATATATAAATCGGCCCAGTTTAATACTGTAGTGAGTCTCCCGGTGAAGCTCCAGTTACTGGAATCTCAATTAAAAATGACCATTGTGGTTCGCTACCTGTGGTACTGCAGAGTATAGCATTTCCACAAAGAACTTTAGCTATTTTTTCAGTGGATTGTGCTCTTAAATGTCCCTTTTAATCTCATCAAAAATCATGCTATTGAAATGGCCTAGTATTTGGGGGGAAAAGTGTAAACTGTTAGAAAAAAATTCTGTTAGTGGGCACTTGCTATTGTCCTACTTAATCTTGAGATGAATATCCATATTTAGCACAAAAAGTTCCAACAGCATAGCCATCCTTTTCCCCTCCACCCATAATTAGTTATGCACTGTATGTTCTGTGTGTTCTCTTTTCACCGGATGGATCCCATATAAGATATTTAACTTTTTCTTGGGGGTGAGGTGTGGGTCTTGGAGCCATTAGAATGTGCTAAGTGTTTTGCATTGTTGGAAATTGATTTATAATCTTGTGAAATGTTTTGCAGTTTTTTTTTTGCATGTTCAGAGGTGGTTGCTTCTTGGTGGTGCATTTGTAATGCAGCGAGAAAACTTTACCATCTGGAGACCTAGGTTTGAATGTAGTCCAGAGAAGAAGATAAAGGCTCTCCTTTGTATGATGCCTACGGTGGATGATGGGCAAATCAAGTTCAGTCTATTCTTTAGTAGACTTGAATTTATGGCACTTTAATGGAAGAAGATATGTGGAGCCTGATTTGGTCGTCCCAAGTTCTGAAAGGTCCACCAATTGATATTGTGAAGGAAGGGAAAGGCTTGTGTTTCAGGGAAGGGTTCTTGCCCTGCTGTACATGGGATGCTTTGCTGTTGCAATGTACAAGGGGTTCGTGTGAGATTAAATCCAAAATTTATTGGGGAGGCGTGGGTGTTGCTAATCTGAATTGTGAAGGAGGTGGCGGGAGTTGTTGCAAACACAAATCGGAGGGATGGGCACTTGCTATTTATAACGGGAGCCCACCCCTCCAATTTGTATGTTTGTGCTGTGTTGTCCAGAAAGCATTAATGAGGCGTTTTTGCTTATTACAAGCATCCATTTTTTAATTTTCTGTCTTCTGGTTTCGATTGAAAGCAGTCAATGTGTGGGTGATGTGTATTTGCCGTGGTTACCCAAAATTTATAGTTTAAAATTAAAATGCGCTGATTTTTCCAATTTTTTCTCCTGAAGGCTGGTGACTCAGAGCAGGATGAGAGAGGATGTGATTCAGTGGGATTGCTATTGCTTTGATATCTTCCTCAAAGTGATATTTCTTTATATGAGAGTCTTGATCATTCGATGTTTGGCAGCCCGTTCATAATGGGGGGGGGGGGGGGGGGGGGCGGGAGGGGCACTTTGCCTTGGGATAACTGAAAAACAATAGGAAGAAGAAACTGTGGCATCCTCTACCTCCCCTACCATAATGGGGGCACTAGGGTTTATGGTCATGTCATTGGTGTGGCCAGTTGAGATTGGCTGACTGGACAGGGATCAAAGTTTGAACCTCCTGATCTGTATTCCACTATAGCAAACAATGCACTGTATTTACTCACTGACCCATCAGAGGAGCCTCTATTAATATTTTCCATACTGGACTGTTAGTCTTATTCAGGATACATTCATGAGAGATTGTAATTTGTGGATTTTACACTGGATGCTTAGTGCAACAAATTTGAAAGAGCAATGATTATATTAATCAATGGATATCATTATCCAATTTAGAACCTCCATTTGTCTTTAAGATGAATAAGTGATTGGTTCACACTTTGTGGAGAATAGTTTGTTTATCCTTCTTCAATGCTTTGCCGAAATCACTAGTTACTCGTATTGTACAACTAGGTATTCTTACTGAACACGAACATGTGGAATGCTTTGCTCTCCATGAGGCCAAGTTGACTGACTTGTTAGCTTTGACCTGTGACAAATTCATTAAGTCTCTTTCTGAGCTCTTGTGAGTGGTGAATCGTACTCTACGTGCTGTTGGTAAAGGTTTTGTACAACATCGGCATGCCCCCACAGTAAATACATTTGACTTGCGCGTTCAGAGCCCAATATGCCGGCTGTGAGTTGTTTTAACGGACTTTTTTTTTCTTTTTTAGAACTTCGTCAATTGAAGGCACGTAACGTGGTTCGACCAGCTTGTACAAATGGTGGTGTTTGTTCATTATTGTTGTCGCTACCGAAGAAGCTTTTACGAATGGGATGAAACAAATGTTTTTTGAAAACTCTGCTAAACGCCTGTGACTCAACAACTGTAGCTGCTGTGCTGAATTTGCTCCAGATAATGCTTCCGCTCTGGAACTATACGGTCTGAAACTGAACAACCGCGTATACACAGAGAATTGCCACAAGCAGGGACTCATTATGGAGAAAACGAAAGATAAAGACAAAATAGAGGAAAGGTCCAGAGTGCCAAGGAGCGGTGGACGAAGTGCCCACAATTCTGGCGTTTTAATGGTTGGACCCAACTTCAGAGTTGGGAAAAAGATAGGGTGTGGAAATTTTGGAGAACTTAGATTAGGTAAGACACATTTATACTTTGGTGACAATGTTTTCTGAGATGGTCGTTTTCCGAGCTGCTCTCTTTCCGAGATGCTTCCAAAGAAAATGCGTTTATATTCGTTGAAGTTGTAAAATCACTTATATTTGTAGCTTTTCAGATCTTCTGAAGACTTTCACATTCCTTTAACATATTGGAATTGCAATTGAGGCTCAGCTGGTTGTGAAACAATTAAAGCTGCCCAAAACAATTGGGTTTCCCATTTTCTAGCGTCTGAATTTTTAACATAAAGCAGGCCTGTGTTGACTAAGCATAGAGGTGAGGTCTGAAAAGATGAGCGAAATAGGCTCAGGTCTTGTTTTTGGTCAGGGGAGGGTGATCCTTTGAGATTACGGCTATGCATATTGTTGGTGTAATAGAGGGATTTTGTGCATAGGATTCTATTTCTTCCTAATAATAATCCTTGCTTTTTATATAGCACCTTGTCACCTTGTTGAGACGGCTCAAATGGGCACCGAATGCCACTAAAAATTCTAATTTCAAAAATACTTTTACTATTGGTGCAACCTTTTCATGGCTGATTGCTTAAATGCTTTGTTTTTTTGCAATTATTTCCCCCTCTTTCAAATTAGCAGAAATTATTAAAATCTTGAGACAGTTTTGATGGTGACTTTAACATCTTCGATTAAAACTTTAAAAGTGATGGTGTGTGACATCAAGAGAGCTGCCGAAATACTTAGATTACTCTGGGGTGAGAAAGACATGACAATATGTGAATATTCAGTTTTCAGTTTCCCAGTGAAGTGGTTTGTGAGTGCTTTTTTTTAAGTTGAGAAATAAAGGGACTGGAATCGGATAATTCTCCCTTTTAAATCTAGCATTTGATTGCATTTCTGGCATCTGGGACAGTATATTTTCAGTACATTTTATATTTCTTGCAATGCTTTGTGTGAAGAAATGTTTCCTGGTTTCACTGATTGCATTTAACTGGCTTGACTTTAATTTTACGATTATGTTCCGTCATTCAGGGTATCCCCACTCAAAGGAATTGTCACTCTGTCTACCATGTCAATTCCCTTTATTATTTTAAATTCATCAGGCAGTTAAGTCCCTTCATCCCAAGTAACAATTTGGTCACTCATGCCAGTATATCCTTCCTAAACTGCGCCAACTAAATTGAGCATTTTAAATGAAGTTGGATTTGTAGTCTGTATGGCTGCAGTAGTATTTCCTTGTTTTTAAAATCTAGACCTCGTGTCAAAACCCATAACTCCTTTCGACAATTAGATTTCTTTCAGTAAAGTGCTTTTAACAACTGAACGCCAGCAGCCCCGAAAACACTTGCTTCATTTATCCCCATTCCCAGTGCTTCATTCGTAAAGTATTCCCATCTGCCATTCCTATATTTAAAGTTCAAAATCACACATACTTTGCTACGTTTGATTCCATTTCCCATTGTCGCCAACCACTCATTTAATCTATTTATCTCTGAATTTTCCTGCTCTCTAATTTCAGCTGAGTGTCATTTACAGTAACTTGGCATATAGTAACGTAGTAGTGGTTTCAGTTAGAAGTTCACTGTTCGTGTATCCATGTTCCTAAAAGATCCCTTTGTCACATCTATCGCTTTTTTTATAACCTTTCAATTTCCGAGAGCTTATCTAGTTTATTTCTGAAGAAATTCTCATAGTTGTTTCACCACTTGTGCTGGTAGCTTTTTCCTCTTCCAATTGCCTATCCCCTTTTACCAAAACACAATCCTGCTCGTCTGTCGTCTACTCCTATATCCACAGTTCATTAATATACAGAATAAAAAGCTCAGCATTCCCTGTGGGAGAGCACTGGTCATTGTCAAGTCAATCAGAAAATATCTCTTACCTTACAAACAATTTCCTATCCACGTCACTAGGATTTGATTGAAAAATTGAAAGTGAGAGAGACTGCTTGCGTTGATTTGTAATTGGCAACAAGAGAGTATAAATTGAAGGTTGTTACCAGACGGGAAAAAAAATTGTAAGAAATGTTTTTATGAAGACATTGTTATAATATGGTTATCGAGGCTAAGGCCACAGTAGCATTTAAGAGGGAAATGTATCAAAACTCGAGGAAAAGTTGTAATAACAACAACAGATTGTATTTATGTAGCACCTTTCACGTCGGGAAGACGTCCCTGTTATATTAAACAGAATGGGGATAGCGCAGGGGAATGGCATAAGAGTTGAAGACTCCATTGGATAAGTAGCAACAACATAGATTTGATGGGCTGAATCCTTTGGCACGATAAACTTTCTGATTCTGTGAATTTTAATTTTAGTTCACAATACAAATTTACATTTATACTTCATGTCAGTAGGACAATGTGGCACCTTGTCAATAATAATCCATTTCAAATGTATTCTAAAACTCTATGTAATTTACATCCATAGATCCTCAATCCTAGTGCTTATGAAAGTTTTATCTCTTTGGTGGTTGGACATGACCTACTTTTCAAAAACCATGCCGAGTTTCCCATATTTACCAAAGTGCTACATTTCTCTTTCCCTAACTCACTGGCCTTGGTTTATTCCTTCCTCACTTCTTAAGTAACGGCGTTGCGTTTGCTACCTTCCAATCCATGGGCAGTACTTCCAAATCCAGAGAGCATTGAGAGATTAATACATTTTCTATATATTTATTTCAGGGGTGTAATTTGATAATCCACTAACCTGTTTGTTGAATAGATTCCACTATTTGTCAGTTTATCGGCCAACTTACAATTTTTTAGTGTACGTCAATTCCTTCCTCGGCTCTTCAAATTTGCCCTTATTAAGTTCAAAGGCTTAGATTATGAACCTACTTTTTCCCTTTCAAGTCTGATGTTGAATTTAATCTTACGGTCTCTATTCCCAAGGTGCTCTCTTACCACCAGATTGCTAACTATTTCTGGTTTACTCATTACAGAATTAAGTATCAGCTGCTCCCCTGCTGATTTGAGGACCTACTGTTTTAGAGAAATATCCTGAACTCAGTTCAGTATATATGTTTCCTTCTCTACTTCAGGTGTCATTCTTCTCCCAATCTATGTGCAATTTAAGCTCTCGTGATTACGTTTTCTTCTTCCAACCTTCTTTGGTTTGCATTTAAATGCAGTCCTCCAAGTTTTGAGGTCAGGTGTTTTGCAAAATACTCCACCATCGTATTGTATCCTTTCCCGTTGATTAGTTCTCCTCTCCCCCTTCTTTTAAACATTCCCCAGACCTTCCATGAATTCTATACTCTGGTAAAGTCTATTTAGCTCTAATCTTACATGGGATACAGCCAGATCTCTGCAACTTGATTTGCCCTTGTCATCCCACAATTAGCTGCGTGCTTCTTGTAAACACTATGGATGATACAGTTTTGAAAGAATCTTGAAATGCAGAATTTCAAGATTTGTTTGGCCAAATTTGCTGATAAACATGATGAGAAACATTGCCGTGTCTATAGGTTAGAGCATGTTTGACATTCAGTTCCACACTGATATTAGAATATTACAGAAAATCCTGAGTAATTTACATTTTGAACTAAAAACTGACTTAAAAATATCCGAATAGTACAGTTTGTTGTTGTACATTCTAAATGGGTTGAAGGTTTAACCTGATATTTGGAGCCAGATATAGTTTACAAGGTTCTCTTCTGTGGTTTGATAGTTGCTCGGTTACTTGATGTTAATCAGTTACCAATATTGTGCTTTTGTATGCTTCCTTTTTCTACTGATTTAGTCGGCATAGGCTTTCTTTTTTGTTCGCTAGGACATGTAACATTCTGAGTTCCCTAGCATGTTCAAGATCTTAGAATGATTCATTTTGTGAATTTGCGTGCTTTTGTCAGGGTTTCCTTTATAACCTGGTACGTAGTGTGTTTTGGAGTGTCACTCCATCTATTTCTTTTTCTCCTTCTGAGTGGCATACAGGTGTATGTTATGTCGTTACACCAGTTTTGCTCCATGCAGCCCCCTGAATGTTGCATTTTTGAGAAGGTGCAATGTGTAAACTATTGATAATATGCAAAACAATGAAACCGTATTATAAAACCATATTCTGAGGGAGGGCTGGAGAATGCCAAGGGTTTGTTGATCCATGCCAGGAACCACCAACTTGGAGCTGCCCTCCTAAGGCTGGTCAACAGACTTCTCTCAGAGGCACATATTCTGTGTTCCAGCATGCAATTGTGGTTCCAATAATAATCCTTGCATTTGATATAATGCCTTATCACTTCTTCAAGACGTCTCAATGCGCTTCACAGAATATACTGTAAAGTGAATTGACTGCATCTTGTGGGCGAAATGAGGCAGCCAACTGCGCCCAGCAGTATCCCACAAACAGATGTGGATTAAAGTGACCAATTTATTATTATTATTTTTTTGAAGGAATTATTACCCTTGAAAAAGTGTTCCGCCAATCGACTAACAACTGGGTTCCTACTTATGGCTAGGTAAACCGAGGAGTGTGGAGGAAGGAAACTTGCCCAACATTTATGTGTGTATCCACACGCAGATAGAGATTGAGAACTGCCGAGGAATCTCACTGATTTCAATGGCTCTTAAAGTGGTGCTGTGTATGAATAGTCACTGCATTTGGATGCATTGGCGACTTGTGGTTTAATCAAAAAGGAACAAGGATTCCGTTCCCATGAGGGGTCTGTGGGGCAGGTTGTAGCTCTATATTAGTTCACAGAATATTGTGTTAAGACTCTATGGAAACTCATTTACTTTGCATTCATAGATTTCAACAACCCTGACCTAGTGCCTCATGATGAAGCTTGAAGCCATGAGAATACGTGGACAAATTTGGGATTTTATTCAAAATGTGTATTCCAACTCCAAGATCCGTATAAGAGTTGACATTTAACTCATGGAGCTTATCCCTCTTGAAAGGAAGTAGGTAGCAGTCACTTGGGGCTATTATTCTTCCCACTTGGCTCCTGATAGTCTTTCAAGCAAAACAACAACAAAATTACATTTGTATAGCGCCTTTCACGTCGGGAGGACGTCTGAAGGTGCT